TGGCCCACTGCAGTATGTTCCTCACTGGTGATGCTGATTCTAGCATCTTCTCTTTCACTTTCATTTTTTCAAGTTCTTTTTTTTTTTTGTCAGTTGTAGGGGCTGAACTCTGGGCCTGGGTGCTGTCCCTCAGCTCTTCAGCTCAAGGCTAGCGCCCTACTACTTAAGCCGCAGCACCACTTCCGGCTATTTTTTGCTTATGTGGTGCTAAGGAATGGAACCCAGGGCCTCATGCATGCAAGGCAAGCGCTCTACCACTGAGACACCTTCCCAGTCCCATTTTTTCAACTTCTTATATACATAGTCTTTGCAAAGCACAGGCCTGTTTGATCATTCATCTGTCCAGACCTTCAGTGGTTCTTCATTCTCCTAGAACAGTGTTTTTGTTTGGTTTTTGGTTTATTCTTTTTTGCCCCAAGGTCCTTAGAAAATTGTGTACTCTCCAAAAGCCTAGTTAAGAAAACAGCCCAGATGCCCTACAACAGATAAGTAGATCAAGAAAATGTGATAAATACATACTTTCAGAAAGAATAATACATAATAAAATAATAATGTAATAACACTTTGTCATTTGCAGGGAAATAGATGGACCTAGAAAAAAAATTATGTTAGGTGAAGTCAGGCTCAGATAGACAAATGGTGCATGTTTTCTCTCATGTGTGGAAGTTAGATCTAAATTACAAACATATAGAATTATATGTATATATGCATAAAAATTGACTAAGATTGAAACATGTTTTTCAGGGAAGGGGGGAGGAGGGGGGTCATGAGTGGAGGAAGGAAGGGTGAGCAAATACAGTCATGATATTCCATGTACATTATGTAAACGCTGAACTTGAAAGATGGAGAACCATGAAGGGGTGATATTGATCAAGAGGCACTGTACTTAAGATCTAATCTGTAAAACCTGAAACCTCTTCATACAACTACTCTATTAAGGAAATCTAAATTAAAAAATTAAAACGCCAAAAAAGAAAATTGTGTATTCTTACCTGAGAGAAATGCACCTAGGTTCACAATCAATCCTTTGAAAACAATCTTAGGGCTTTGCTGCCCCTGCAGCCCATCTCCTGGATGGGCTTATACAAGCCCTCAGTGTTTATACAAGCTGTTCACCTCTCACAGCTCCCACTTACAAACACACTCCAACTGGAGTCGACCCCTTTCCACTGCAAGAACACCCAGCTCCTCTGGCCTGAGCCCCTGCCCTCTCAGCCACCTACAGAACCATCTTGAATACCCAGTCCTCACTGTCTCCCTTTCGCTTCATCCTGTGCTTTTCCCAGCCGCTTGCTGCCTTTCTCTAGGTGTTACCTGAAGCAGGTAACCTACCTGCATTATAGAACCATACTCCCTTTGTTCCTGCTCTGCCTGCCACAGTGAATACCCAGGCCTTCTGTGTATGCTCAACAATCGCTTGTTTACCCTACAATGGTGCCTACCTCTTTCTGTAGTAAACATACATGTGATAGTTTGTAGTACTAAGCATTATTTGAGCTTTTCTGGAGTTTATTTGCTTATACTTCCCCTGTTTGTTGTTTTTCATTTCAATTGTTTAAATTCATATCAAAAAGCCTCTACAGATTTTGTTATATTCATAAGGCTAGTAATTATAGAAAGTATCAGGGTTAAATTACAAAAGAAATTATTCCACAAATAGCAGTATTCTGTATAACAGCTAATGTATTATAAGTAAGAATAAAAGGAAAGGAAAACTAAAAGCATGCTTGCCTTTGCTTTAATGCACAATGTACTATTGATATAATCCACTCCCATTGCTAATGCACCCAGAAAAATCCAAATAAAAACATCCATGCTAAGCACTTACTGTTTCTATTTTTTTCTAGATAAGGTAAAAATTTTTTTTTTTATTGTGAAAATACTGTACAGAGGGGTTACAATTACATGGGCAAGATAATGAGTACATTTCTTTTCAAGCATTATAGTCTCCTCCTTTGTTTCCCCTTCCCATCCCTTCCCATACTCCCCCCTCCCCCGCCCCCACCCAGTCCTCCCTATTTTACTTGGTTAGCACAAAGGAATCTTATATAAATTCAATAAAGCTGAAAGTGAAAGTGGATTTGCCCTCTGGAGAGTCTATAAATACTGACAGTAATGAAGAAGTCACTCATATTCTTTATGTAAGTAATACACATTAAAAGACACAGGTTGCAAACTATAATTGACCACTATTGAATATTAAACACTGCTGAAATCCATGAAGTGCATTTTCTAAATTCTAGTTTGAAAAATTCAAACTACCTTATATTAATCCACTACTGGCAGTCCCATTGCTATACTAGTTAGAAATAAATTTTTTAAAAGATCTTCACCTAAGATAATCAAGCACATCAATTTTAACTTCATTTTTGATGATTTAGATAAATTAAATCATTCTTGCATGAATGGTTTTATTCTCAAACAGAATCCCTCAATTATTTGGGGAGGAAAGAGATTCAATTATTTTGTCATTATAACAAGATATTACACTTAGGTATTTGATTATGCTGTTCCGTAACACCAGTGGGAAATACCCTGTTAATTTTAAAACAAATGAATGGCTAAGTATAAAACAAGTTCATACATTTCTCCTGGGTTTTTCATTCCCTAGATCATTTTGAAATCTGGCTCCCTCATTCACAGAAGCAGGGAGAAGGAAAGGGAGAATCAAATGAACACCATCAAACTTCAAGCAGTGAGCTCTACTTCATATGAGCTTTAACCTCACATAATACTCTGAAGTATCCCAGGTTTTGCAGCTAGCTACAGGAAGGCTCTGCTTTGCAGAGATCACAGTGAAAAGGCTCTTCAGGACAGCTCACACAAGGCCCTCTTGACTTATTATACTGTCTTATTACACTGGTTATACTTGTGGTTCTTTATCCCAAGTGCTACCTATACTCAGGTTGTCTTTCCTTCCCATTAATCCAGCCATTCTGGCCACCATTAACTGGAAATGGGATTGGTGCTGGACCGAAAAGTAGCAGCTCACAAGGGGGTCTGCTATGAAAAGGCAGCTGAAAAACTGGTATGATCCTCTCCTGCAAAAGAGTGTAGTATCCAAAGGGAAGCAGGAGAAAGGAGAAGCAGCAGCCAGACCCCCAGCAAAGGAAGGGCTGCCACAGCAGCTATGACACAATCTCAAGCACCAACCTGAAGGGAGGTATTTATAAGGAGCTGAGGAATGGAGGAGGGGCCGCCTAGCATGATGGTCTTGCAGACACTCTTTATCAAGCAGTTTAATTAGCATTCATAAAACACTAGTTGAGAAAAGGGTAACTATACCAAGGAAAGATTTTCTAAAACTATCAAATCCTGAAAATGCAAATTATGAAGATGAAATTACTGTAACCAATATTTCAACAGAATATTACCCAGGAGTTTCATTTAGTAACGCACAGAGAAAAACATTCACTTTGGGGAAAACAAGGCTGTAATAACAAAATTATGAAAAACATGTGGCTAAATAAATCACTTCTTCATTTTCCATGGGGGTACTCACAGAGATCAGAATCACTTTTCCTCCAAAACTAGTGCCCCGACTTCTGATTAGAACAGTAAAGCCAGAAAGTTGGAAGGTCTGTGCAATTCATCTGCAGCCAGGAATGTAATATATGACTCCTTGTGATCAGGGGCCTCAGATTGTGGACCAAGGATCAGCAGCCTGGCCTCAGAACTATTACAATGAAAATTTGTGGTGTACTTTGGTGCTACTGAAACTAGAATTCAGAGAATGGAACAGTTCTTCTGCGCAAGGCATCAACTCGTAAGCACACATATGCATGTGCACAGAAGAATCTCAAATATACTCACTGCTCTCCAATGGAAGTTCAAAAATAAAACCAGGATGCTTTGTGGGTTTTTTTGTTTGGTTTGTTTTTTGCTATTTTTGTCACTGAAAAAGAGTATTTGTGTGTGTGTGTGTATCATTGTCCATCAGCTAAGAAGCAGGCTAACATAGGAAGCAGGCTAAATGAAAGGTGGCACATTTCTATGAAGACATGTTCTACAATAGTGAAGAGTAATAAAAGTTTATGTAACAACCTCAATAAAGTAACTTAAAAAAAAAATCACACAATGGGATGTACTTTTTTGTCAGTCATGGGACTTGAACTCAGGGCCTAGACTCTGTCCTTGAGCTCTTTTGCTCAAGGCTTGTACTCTACCACTTTGAGCCTCAGAGCCACTTCTGGTTTTCTGGTGTTTAATCAGAGATGAGAGTTTTAGGGACTTTCTTGCCCAGACTGGCTTTGAACCTAGATCCTCAGATCTCAGCCTCCTGAGTACTAGCATTACAGGTATGAGCCACCAGCACCTGGCCTGAAATGTACTTTTAACATCACTTACAATTTTTTAAAGCTTTGAAAGTGTATTTTCTATCTATATAAAAAATTTAAATAAATTGTATAAATACAGGCCAAACTCATAATAGAAATGAATTACTTCTTGGGCTGGGGGATATAGAGAACTAGCATTGAGATGGCCACCAAAAGGACTTTAGCTTTGAGTATAGCAGTACACACCTATATAATCCCATCACTTGTAAGGTTGAAACAGGAGGCTCTTAAGTTCAAAACTAGATTGGGCTACATAGCAAAGACTTTGTCTTAACAACAGTAACAACAAAAGCCCCCTGCAAAATAAAAACACAAAAGACTATATTAATCTTACTGTCCCCTAATATATCCAAAAAGAAGACCAGTTATTATTATTCTCTTAAGAGCTACTAGAAATCAATCTGGATGTAAACCAAAGTATTTGTTTTTAAATTTAGGAAAGAGAACCATAGGTATGTGACATTTCCTCTCCTGCATTTTTTTTTCTAATTTTTCAATCATCCACCTCCAGGACAGTATTTTACCTCCCCAAATACAGTAACACACTATATAATATGAACCTCATACCCACAGTAATGATGATCTGACCCTGCATGAATCACATGGCTTTGTTCCTTCATTATAACACCAGTAAACAGTAAAATCAAAATATCTCACACTTACGCATGTAAGGCAGTTTTTCTGGACAGGGAAGGTATGGTGAATACGTGAAGTTTTCCGGGAGATACGTTGTGGTTTGAACAAGATAGTCACTTGAATTATTGCCTTCTGGATAATCTTGGAGACAGAGAGAAAAAAGAAAGTCATAACTCATGCATTGGTTTTCACTTTGCTTCTAGTAGAAAGTATGGCACAGCTGTCTCCAATGTGCAACCTATAGAATATTTAACTTAAGCAATAACCCAGAAAGAACTAGGAAAAAGTACCCCACTGCTAGAAAGGATGTCTCAGCATGACTCCCCAGGAGAGGACCAAAGAGCAGCCCATCCTTATCACACACACAAACATGAGAACACCTGCTCCTCCCACCTACTCTCTGGTTGGGCCAGATGTAAAGAGGGTGGGAATCCTTTCCACCTTGAAGTACCACACAGCCCCAGCACAGTGCTACCTGCATCCAGAGCACAGAGGGGTAAGAGAACACATGCATAAGAAACTGAGGTTTGCCCACTCCACTTCTCCGTAACACAGCATACTCTGATCCTTTAGCGTTTCTGCACCTGCACACTACAGCCCTTGAGGAATCCATTCTCCTTGGCACCAGCAAGGTTTACTACATAAACAGCGATTGTCAGCAACACCAAAGTCAAATGCTTGAATTCAAATCCTTGCTGCTCCAGAAACACACTCGCTTTCAAAGTAGGGCCATTATTATCATTTTTCCATTTGTCTCCTTGCTACAGTCATTTTTACATTTCAGTAAGATAAAATACCTCAACCTCAGAACAACCCTTGGCTCACAAAAACAGTCAACATTTGCAGTCATGAACACATGACCAAACCAAAACATGACCTGAACACAGAAATAAATCAGAGCTTCAAGATTTTTGAATCAGGAAGCAAAGAGAGATTCCAGCCCTTCTCTGAGGCAAAGTTCTCAAATGCGAATCTGAGAAACCAGGACATGCCAGTTTCCTGCTGCTCAGAAGAAGCTGGCCAAGGAGAATCACTGAAGAACAGAAACTGAGGAGATTACAACAGTTAACTACTGTGTCTCCTCGATCCATTGTGCATCACAGAAAATGAAGCTCTAGAAGATACAAATCTTGTTATCTGCTCCAAAGGAAGAGACTATAAAAGCTAAACTTTCGGACCCATGGAAAAATGGTAGATGTAGACTTGTGAACAATATGAGAAGAACCAAAGCAAACCCTCAGTCCCCTCCCTGTTTATTATTATCCCTTCATCATCAACATGGAGTTAATGGGGCTGTAGCCAGGGCCAGGACAGCACTTCAGAGCAGGACACGGCCCATCCCAGGCCCACTCATGGAAGAGCATCCTGCCAAGGTTGCTAAGCACAGGTTCATAGAAGGAACAAAGGCTCCAAGCCCATTAGCAAGAGATAGAACCAGAGAAGGTCCAACTCCAAAGGACAGACTGCATAGAAACCTCAGTTGTGAATTTAATGGAGCATCAATGAAGTGTCAACTAGATTATAGAAAGCCACAACACAGAGGCCTGTTCTACCATGAAGTGGAAGAGAATCTCGACTCTCCCAGTCTCTCTCTCTGAAGGCGTCCTGGAAAATTTCTTACAAGAAAAATCTTCCAAGTCTTTGGGGGGGGGGAGGAGAGGGAGTGCGGAGAGGAAGGAGCTGGGGGCAAGTTGTTCTACAGGTCCTGTTCTGTGTGCCCAACAACAGACCAAAGCCATGGAACCCTCCTTTGGGTCCACACTATATATCTCTCACCCAAATGCATCTGAAAGACTTTAAGTCACTGCACCAAATATAAGTATAAGGAAACCCGACAAAGCTCTAATTGTTTCCTTCAGATCCTTTTTAAAATATGTTGAGGTAGTTATCAAAGTTTACATCATCTTTTTTTCACATTTCAGTGTTTTATTCATCAATATTTAAGGCACTCTGAGCTCTAAAGTATTTCTTTTTTTATTTGACTGTCAAAGTCATCTTTTAAAACTGGATTTTCCTTGCACAAGGACAATCATTTCCATATTGATAAACCCAAATGTCTTTAGCAAGAAGAGAAAACTAAAGTTAAACATGTCCTTTGTAGCCGGGCACCAGTGGCTCATGCCTACAATCCTAGCTACTCAGGAAGGAGGCTGAGATCAGAGGATCGTAGTTCAAAGCTAACCTGGGCAGAAAAGTCTCTCTGAGACTTTTATCTCCAATTAACCACTGGAAAACTGGGAAGTGGCGCTATGGCTCAAAGTGGTAGAGCACTAGCCTTGAAGAAAAGAGCTCAGGTACAGTGCTTAGGCTCTGAGTTCAAACCCCAAGAATGACCAAAAAAAAAATTACTTTGTAAATGTTTTCAATCCTAAAATAAGGGAAATAAGCCTAAAAGTTTCCAGAATGAAAAACAAAAAACAAGTCTGTGCATAGTATCTGTGAGCAGAGTGATCATACTTCTGAAAAGCAACAGTGAATAGAAAGAAACAATGAAGTAGGAATTTCAAAACCCTTTGTAAGTGTGATCAATTCAAGTGCTTAGAGTTCAGGGAAAGGCACAGAGAGCACAGCAAATGGGAGAAAAGAATCAATGAGTAGCCTTAGTAAAATTAAAACAGTCCAGTAAACATTGCCCACAACTTGGCTCGGGAGAACAAACAAGCCATTGTTTACATACCCTAAACGAGACTGATTTGAATATAAGTCCCAACATAATTATACTGGAGTAAGAAGATGTGAAAACATGTGCCACCAAGCACTGAATGACTTTCTTCTGTAACAGGAATGATTACAATGATAAATCAAGAAACAGCAGGGTAGGGGTTAGCTTAGTCATAGAGTGCATGCTTGGAAGTCAGGCCCTGCATTCAACCCCAGAAGAATAAAGGGAAAAAGGCCAAGAGGAAAGACAGACAAAATAGAAATGAAGATAAAGACAAAATAAGCTGTTAAAAATTAAAAGTTCAAATACACTGTATACATGTGTGGAAGTGTCACAATGAAATTCTCCTTGTACAATTTATGTTAATAAAAAATATGAATCAGATTAAAGGAGATTAAAAGTTGTTCTCCAATGGGGCTGGAAGGTGGCTCAGTGGTAGCATGTTTGCCTTGCATGCATGAGGCCCTGGGTTCGATTCCTCAGCACCACATAAGCAGAAAAAGCCAGAAGTGGCTCTGTGGCTCAAGTGGTAGAGCACTAGCCTTGAGCTGAAGAGCTGAGGGACAGCACCCAGCCCAGAGTTCAGGCCCCACTACCATAAACAAAAACAAAAACAAAAGTTGTTCTTCAAGTACAGGGACTCAGAGCGGAGTCTACAGAAGATTTTCTTTTACTGTAATTATTTTCTATTTTGATTTTAAAACAGAAAAGCATTGCTCAAAATTAAAACAAGATATATGTGTAGCTTCTCAATTTAAATAGTTAAAACAATACAGAGCAAGTTCTTCTGCAGAAATCACAAAACTCTTTCTCTCACTCTCTCTCATGCTTCATCTCACAACTTTTTTGCACAAGTAAAAGAAAGAACATATGGTCTACCAACATCAATATAATGGTTTTCCTTTCTTTCCATCTTTCAATTTTCCTTAAGCAGCCACTATACGCTACACATTTGCAGTAGACAGAAATAGAAAATAAATAAGGCTACACCCAAGGACCTACTGCCTTTGTATGTCCAAAAACTGATTTTTAAAAAAAGAAAAGAAACCTGAAGTACAGAAAACATCACCTTCATCAGGCAAACTTCAAGGAACCCCCTAATGTCATGTATCAACTTTAAATCAGAGCATTTCTTATTCTGCATAATTTATTAACTTTTGTATTATGCAGCCCCTCCTCTTTCAAATCCAAAGTCTCTGACATTTCCAGCTCTCCAGATACTGCTACAAACACACTATTAGATGCCATTCCTCCCTGGGGAGACTGGCAAGAAAAGGGCCAGAGAAAGAAATTTCACATTTTATTCCAATGCTAATATGACTGAATCTTTAATAACAGAACACATTCATCACTTTGATCAGGTTTAAAGAACTAAAGTTATAGTCACTTCCTTTAAATACTATGTTTTAGAGCTAGACCAATGTTTTGGCTAGATCATTACAAATGAGCATGAAGAGTTCACCTCACTGCAAGAGTTACAAAATTGTCTCTGTGGTCCTTGAGTCCTCTGTCCAGTGGTACTTATGCATCTATCATCCGGTGTCTATACAAATCTATCCCCCACTCGCCACTATTTTGAGAATCTGTTCATTGAAGTAAAACTATCTTTGATTTCCAACATCTAATAAAGTACCTATGGCCTGGCAGGGACAAATAAACACTGTACAACTGATAAAATAGCCCAAAAGGATTTCAGCTTTCCCAGACTGTACTGTGATAAACCCGCAAAATCATTGTTTCTACAAAAGTGGTTGGATGAGCAATGCCCATCAGGCATAACCACTGCTTTCAAAGTGGGGAACAGATGCATTTGCTGCAAAAGACAGACATTATTTCATCTAATGAGTGGATGGAAACAAGATGAGCTCTGGGCCCTCCACTTGCTTCCTCCCTTTGGAAAGCCACACCCAAAGAAAAGGGAAACCAAATGAAAGGTACTGTACACGGTCCTCTGTTCAACTCTCAATCATTTAAAGGATGAGGAGAATGAGACCAAAGGGTGTTTCTTAGTGGCTTCATTTTTCCTGCAAAGGGAAGCTTAAAAAACAGGTAATGGCACCATGAGAATTTTGGTCTGCCTACCACTCTGTATCAGTTGAGCCATACCTGCCAGCCTTACTTTGTGTATCCATCAAATAAGGAAGTATGCTCAGTTATTTCTAACAAGCCTACTATCTGCATGCCCTATTACCTATCTCAGTCATTAGTCAGTAAATACATCTTTTTTACTAATTTTTCTGGCTCTGTTGATACAAGGAATGGCATCCTTTGGTTGCGACCAGACATCATTTCTATACAAAAAAATATTATACTTATTCATATTTGATACTTATTTATATTTGATTAAGAAGTATTTAAAAACTCCATTTTGAAGTTAAATGAACCCACAGATACCATGACCTATTTACATTTTAATTGTTATATTTTAAATGAACCACTACACGTTAATGAACTCTCCTCTAGGGCTCAATTAGCTCTTTGTACACTTTATTGGCCACTGTTTCCTTATACATGTCTATAAGTCCATGTAGAAATGACTAACTACATGGTGAAGACCCATTATGTTTCCATCTCTCTAAAAAGCCTGGAGAGAGATCCACATTTAAATGGAGAAATGTTTCTCTCAATGCTGTCTTCCACATCTAAAGTATACAAACTATACTATGCTAATTGCTTGGTATGTGCTGGCTAAATGAATGTGGCACAGCTTCAAAGCTTCAGATTCAAACTCCATTTCCCTTTCTGCTTAGGTAATAGAGTCAGGAGAGTTCCAAATTAGCTTTACAAATGTTTAAACTTCTGCATCTAACCTACTATTCAGAACAATTAATGCACAAGACCATAGTGAGACTTTATTGCACTATTAAAATGTCTGCTCTGTTGAGACAGATTTTTCTAAAAGAACTTAAGGTTAAAGATAAAAGGAAATTGAATGTTTTGATTTCTGGCAATTTAAATAAGTGGACAGATGATTACAACAAGTTTTGTACAAGCATGTATGACATTAAATTGTAAATCAGCATGTTTCTGTCATGAATTCTCTCTCGAAGAGAATCATATACATTCATTTTAAAAAGAATACTTATGGTTGGGAATTGGAGACTTTCCATTGAGGAGACAGAAAACCGAGACAGAATAAGTTAATTACATAAAGTAAGAATATACGGGGTGCCAAAACTGATGTACCCACTGATCTCTCAAGTTACACCTGTAATAGTCTAGAAGATACTGCAGGAAACTTGACAGAAGAGCATTAGTAGTCTTCCGTATCCCTTAAGTCTATCAAACCACTTTGCCATCAGAAAATACTAGTTTGGCCTATGAGATCTTTTTAAAAAATTTTTGTGCCAGTACTAGAGTTTTAACTCAGACTCTCAATGTCTTGCTTAGCTTTTTGGTTCAAGGCTAACACTTCTTGAATCACACCCACTTGAGCCAACCCTCTTCTAGACCTATTAGATTTTAATCTTATGTAAATCTAATGAAAACTCCACTTCCAGGGAACGTTTCTACTGATTTGCAATTTTGTAACACTTTTCCTTACAATTAATCCTTTAAAATAAAACTATTAAAATAAAACTATTAAATTACAAGAATGGCTTGTAATTTAAAACAGTACATTCTGGACACCACTGAACAAATATTTTAGGGATACAATGAACATAACAGTATGGTTAATTCGTTGAGATGATTAAATGAGCCAGACATGGCAGTACATGCTTGGAATCTCAGCACTCAGGATTTTGAGGCAGTGGGAACTTGAATGAAAGGCCAGTCTGGGCTACCAGTAAGACATTTTATTTAAACAAAAACAAAGAAGTGGTACTGTGGCGCAAGTGGTAGAGTGCTAGCAAAAGAAGCTCAGGAATAGCTCCATGTACTGAGTTCAAGCCCCAAAGCCAACAAAAAAAAAAAAAAAAACTATTTTTAAAAGATTTAAAACAAAACAACAAAAAAGTCACTCTCTGCGGCTATTAATTCTTACCTTAAATACAGTAAGTGAACTTAGAAGCTGTTCTTTTTATCTCTGTGTGTGTGTGTGTGTGTGTGTGTGTGTAACCACACATGAGTTATACAAGTTGGGATTTCATCATGACATTTCCATGCATATATATATATATATATATATATATATATATATATATATATACACACACACACACACAATGTATTCCCATCACTTCCCACCAGAAGCTACTCTGTATTTTGTTAATATTCTGAAAAATCAACTTAAATATCTTCATATTATAGATGCTTAAGATCAGAGATTCATATGTCTTAAAATACATGTCAGCAACTGATTTCCAAAATAATGTAGTCTACCAGTAAACTCGATAGGAGATGCTTTCATCTTTAACATGGAGTTACTTGTTGGCAAACCAGACTTCAAACAATTTCATTTGCCATCTATGACTATAAGGATAGAAGCAAAGCAAACATGATTAAGAAGAAAGTCATCTTACCTGTCCCGTTGAGAGTAGCATTTTTATTTGTGTACAGCCTGATCATATGTCCTATTGTTTTTACATTTTCTCTCAACATTATACCTCGAGCTTGTACCATAAAAAGATATGTGTTGGCTATAAAAGAAAAAGAACAAGGAGAATGTCACAACACAATAAGCTTTTCTTAATAAGATTATAACCAAAATTAGTGACATACCCCATAAACATACCAACTCAATTAGCTTTGGACAATTACTATGCCTGAAGGAAAAGTAAAATATAAGAAAACTATTTCCAATTTAATATTTATAAAAATTGAATTGGTATTTTAAACACTAGAAATGAATCTTTTTAAATCTTTAAGTAGTTTACAAAAAAGCTTCAATTCAACATAATAGTTCATGAGTGCAATGCATCTTGATCAATGTCACTCCTTCCACTGGTCTCCATTTCTCCCAACCCAACCCTCCATTCTCTGCAAGCTGTCTGGTTCCATATTCACATACATACATTGAATATAATGACTATACAAATGAAAAAAATACTGCAATATCTATCAAACAAGACATTAAATGAACAAAACAGTCATAACAAACTCCTTTGCCTTTAAATAATTTTCTTCCATAGAGTGTATAAATTCAGTCTTTCAAAAAAGTACTCAATCCTGAGATTAAAATTCATTTTTCCTAATACTGTCAAATTTCTCATCACAAACTATACAGTGATAGATTGTTTTATTTAACAGTACGTATACCACAAATCACCATAGTATCTACTGTAAATATCCTGCAATGGATCTTATACATTCTTGCTGTGTTTGAGGAAGCAACCATGTCCTAGAATCAATTTTTACTTTGGTAACTTCTAAGAGTTAATACGTCAGCTTTTACACTCCCTTTCAATGACAAAGCTACCTATCCAAATCATAAAGATACACAGGGTCAAAAATTAATGTGCATGTTAAGGCTGGTTAACTTATTTCTAGGTGCTAAGTGCTTTAAAAATAAGCCCTTACTTTTTTGGGAAACTGACAAAGCTCAGAACCCCTGACTGTAGTACCAAATCCCTGCTCCAGCAAGCAGCAGAGTGAATTCAGAAGATCCTCTGCTTATCTGCTTCTGAGGTGCAGCACAGGACTTGGGCCAGTCCCCTGGGTCCCAATTTCTTCATTTTAAAAAGGTAGAACTACACCAGATGTTCTCTAAAGCCTTTTCCCTTCTGTACTGTCTAAGCACAAAGCCACAAAAGCCAAAACTCCATTCAGTCAAGAAGCTCACGCTCATGGGAAAGCCAAGAACAGCAAAGTTCAGTTAATGACTATCAATGTTAAGGAAAGTTGTCACTGAGCACAGTAATGAGAGTCAAAATATAAAAAGAGGAAAAAAATCCAATAGCTAAGAATAGCAACTAATTTTCTGGGCCTTATTCATACTTCCTTATCTCTAGTAAAGAGATGAGCAGAATATGCTATCTACTACTCCTTATGTCATTTTTATATATACTTACACTTACAGTGTAAGTGAGCAGAGCGCTAAATATAACCAGTAGGAAAAAATAAAGTAACTTTTCATTTTCAACCCATGAAAGACAGATGAACAGATGAGCAGGTTTCATGTGAGCTTTGCCTCAGTCATTTTTAACAGTATGTCTACATGCTTTCTAGAAAGCAGTCCTATAATTAGATTTAACTTGTTTAGGCTTGAGTGTATTATAAGGGATTACAACACTACAAAAAAATCTTCTTTTACTTGAATGGCTGTTAAAAGAATGAAGAGGCAAAGAAACAGCTTAAAATAATAAGAACTAAAAATGTACAAAAATGTTTCAACAAAAGACAAAAAGTGACATGTTGAGTTAAAACCCCTTTGTACAACGACACAATTTTTAAGTTATATTTTTAAATAGTTAAATTGTTTAATTTAAATTCAATTTTTAAAAAGCCAAACTAACACTAACAATTCTACCTATACCAAGATGTAAAATCATCTAAAATGTAAAAGAGAAGAGACATTAAACAGATTATCAAACCCAACTGGTTGACAGCACATTGGATTACTTAATTCCAAAGTGGGCTATAAAATCTGCTACCAATATTGTAATTGTTTGTTCTATACTAACCTAAACAAAGGGATAAAAATAATAAACCTAGACTTCTGTAAGTGATGTTGGCCTGGCTAAAAGATTAGGTAAGAGTATAAGTGCTCTGTACCTTTTGGAAATTTATTTTTTAAATCATATAGTATCCAGTTATATAATAAAAATAGTTAGAGAAAGTTTGTTTCTGACAAAACTACTAGAAAAATTTTACTGATGGCACCTATGACAAAGGCGAATTACTTGCCAAAAGTGAATTTAGTATTCAGTACATGGAGAGAAAAAAACAAAGCTAGAAACAAGCTCTTCAATGGAAAATCTATTCATTTATTAAAATCATTTACTGTCAAGTAAGTTACATTCCTCAGGCTCATGGTCCTCATAGGTTTAATCCCTAAAGATCAAAACCCAATAGAAAATGAAGATGTGTTTGGATACAGAATGACACAGTGTTAGGGCCACAGTGATATGTCAATGTTTTACAAAAGTCACACCAAGCACACCAGCATGAGAAAGGTTGTGCTGGACTTTCAAAACACCCTGAAACTACATCAGCCTATGGTCAGATAAATTGTTGCTGACTATCATGTACATAAAACCTCCCTTTGTAAGCCCTACAATTCAGAACATAAGTAAGTCTTTTTCAATCTTGCCCTTGGGTCTAGAGACAATCTGAAAAATATACTAAAGCACAGGGCTAATTAATACCATGCTGTGTGTTCTTTAATTTCATCCATTTGCTATCTGCCTATAACATATGTACTATGTTAGTTTTCAGGGGATAGGAGACTTTAAAAGAAAAAAAAACACTTCTTTTCAAAAAGGAACCAAAGAGGCGAAAATACTTGAACCAGTAAGTTTATGAAAGCTTCTAGACATTCTATCTCAGAGCTTATAAGAAAGGATTTATGAACTTGCCTCATTTTTTGCCAAAGAAAATTAAGGAACAGATCTGCTATAAATCTGTCTCCACCTTTCCCCCTTCTGGCTACAGTCACTGACAGGAATAGTCAGGATGAGAAGGATGCACCAGTCTGCAAGAACCTAGAAATGTTTCCTGGGCTTTGAAGGACTCAATATCCAGGTGCTGTGACAAACTGCACCTTTCCCTGGTTACAAATATGTTTAAATACAGAAATGCAGTTATAGAGATGTAGGCCTGGAGCTAAGAAAAAAAATGGGCTAGAAAAACAATTAGGAGAGACACTCATATTAAATGAAAGTTGGAACTACGGTGGTGAATTACAGGAAAAATAACCTAAAATCGAGATACAATGCATGCAGACCACAAACAGAAGGCCCCAAATAAATGATCCATAGATCATTCTCAGCTTGAACACAGTGAAGAAGCTACAAGCTAAAAAGAGAAAAGATTAAACAGGTCTAATGCCACAAAGGTTAAGGAGAAAGAATTAAACATCAACAACTAATGCCCAGCATATACTATTTGCCAGGAATCCTTAGCTCAGAGATATGTTTTATCTGTACCAATTTATTTAATCACATGCAACTCTCTTAGGTAGGTCCTGTTCTTCCCATTTCAGAAAAACAGAGACATAGAGTTAAGTAACCTGCCCAATGCCACATATAAGCCAGGAGTGGTTAAGTCTAGCTGTGATGTACTCTCTTTACCATCATTCCTTTGAACCCCTCCACAACACATTAGGAAAAACTAACCTCTAAGACAGCAGTTTCTTTCAGAAGCAAATCAAAAACATTAAACAGCTGGAGAAATAACAACAAAGTGAAAGCAGTAAGTTTCTGAAAAGGAAACCAGTAAGATCACACAAACGTTCTCAGGAAGAGGCTGGGCCTGAACATATGCCAACAGACTAAAAGAAGCCAGCAGAAAGAACTGAATGATTTCCATCACTAAAGGAAGAAAAAGGAAGGCAGTGCAAGTGGAGGCTCTGAAGGAAACAGGTGAAAAGTAGTCCAGGATATGATCGACAACCTGAGTTGTTTGGCAGTAATGGAAAAACAAGCTGGCATATCCCAGTATGTGGATGGTTTAAAAAAAAAAAAAGAAAGGAAGAGGAGACAGTATGGATGGGGGACAGAGAGCCAGACAATGAAGGTCCACATGGCTGTGGGGTTCACATGAGGAAGAGCAGGGGGAGCAGAACACAGCTGTGTAAACACCCAGGGCACAGGCACACACAGTAAAGATTTCCTGATGGTAGTGGGGTAAACTGGAATGAAACACAGAATCTGCTGCAGTCATCCAGGAGCGTACTTGTTGAACAGCACAGGTTTCTACAAAGGAGATGAATTAACATTTCCTAAGTAGCAACTTCAGTCAGGCACTGACCACATGAAAACTAGAAACATATGTAAATGAACATATACTTTTCATCAGGTTCTTATAATCACCTCCAGTAGGATGGGGTCCCCCCGCCCCCGCTCGAAAGATATTTCTATATCCTAACTCCTAGGATTTTTTCATGTCCTGAGTCAGATTCTGGTATATGTAATTAAATTAAGGATCTTGAGATGAAGAGCTCATTTGGGGGTTATCTGAGTGGACCCTAAATCCAATGGTAATTCCTCTTACAAAAGAAAAGAGGGAGAGTTCTCATACACATGTACACAGAAGTGAGGACAGAGACAGAAACTACAGTGCTGTGGCTATCACCAACAGGCCCAAAGCCACAACAGAATGTGTCCTACCAATACCTTAATTTCAGACTTCTAGTCTCCAGAACTATAATGACATACATTTCTACCATTCTAAGCCACTCGGTGTGTGGTAAGGTCTTATCTAAGTTTTACAACACTAATAACACCATGGATGACGATAAGACCAGGGGAAAAAGCAAACTCAGAAGCAAGTTATACAGGTGGAATTAAAAACTCAGATTCAATCAAGACCTGAGGGGAAACAATTTGGGTGACACAATAGAGCAAAGAGGTAGAAGACAGGGAAAGACAAAGAAAAAGGTAAATCTTCAGGTTTCAACTAATAGGGGGAGGAAGAGTCTAGCTAGAAGGCACACTTAAAGGTTACAGAAGATAAAATAGTTTTCCATGCTATCTAGAGA